CAGAATATACAATTTCAAGTGCGTCATTGTCACGCACGGGTTAATAGAGTTCTGAGCCTTTTCTATGCGACAGGGTCTGCAAAATGGCGTGGCAGATTTACATAAACAATACTGCACCGTTTCGTATGTAATGTATTCTCCTATAATTATGCTTTGCTAAACGTGTTTGATTAAGAATATTGAAGGCCCTCATGCAGCTTTGTTCTCATTTGAAGCAGTGGCACAAATCAAAACAACCATGCGTTTTCAAATGTCGTTCTTACCGTTACATCCACCTAGCATTATCTACAGTATCGGGCAGTGGATCTTTGCGAGCTTCAGGCAACGCTGTAAGTTTCGTCATTACTATTGAAATTCCGAATATAAGTGCGAAATGCAGATAGAAACAAATAGAAAGATTTCAAGCTCCCTGTTTCCTCAAACCTGCAGTCTCATGGTCGATTTCAATCGGTGAATTTATGAGTTCATTTGATAATAATCTGCCGGGCCAAACAAAGTGTACACTTGAATTTGATTTCACACAACCATTTGAAACGTTACTAGACTGAAACCAGACGCCGAAACATTGCATACGTGTATACTTTCCTTTGCCAAGAAGTACATGTTTATATGAAACTGACTACCGATCAGGAATGAGATGGACATATGTTCCTATTTATTACCTTCAATCAGCTCTTTCAATCTAGATTTGTTATTGGACTTGAAACCTCTCAGAAAAAAATATCCCGATTCGTTTTTGAATTGAGTTTGTTGTGCTTCAGGACAATCCCCTCCAACCATACTTGTATGTACCTGTTGCTGACACATCAAGTGTGAAGACAGTCGACTGTGATCAGGCACACCAAATGTGAAGCAGTCGACATAGCGATCAAGACAACAGCCACGACTTACAAATCTGGCAATCCCTTCTTACCCATATATTTAGCTGCTATCTGACACACCAAGCATGAAGACTGCCATCATTGATTTACATGACGGTAAACCCCCATTCTACCATGAATTTGGAATTTACTCGATTCTGATTGGTCAATCAGAGGCTATTAAATCACAATAAACCCCCTCTGATTGAAACAGCTGGTTTGACGGCCGCATCACGGCGGAAGCTAATATTCATAGAATAGAACTATTTTCAGTCATTGTCGGTAGGCATATTTAAATAATTATATCTACAATTACAGGTTACAAAATGCACAGATGCGGTTACTACAATATTCAAAGGATGTGTGGCAATACATTTCGTGCAGAAAAACACGACAGAAATCAACAAAGGGAATGTATTTACGTTTTGGAGACAACCCGGATCAGACAATGGTGACGTGCGATGTAGAGCGAAAGCCTTGCAAAGCTTGCTTTGTTTTCTTTAGGGATGCCCACCTCATGTTAGCTTACCAAGTTGCTGTGCTTATATGCTTTCAATGCCTGTCATATGTTCGAGTGAAGTATTACGGCGTAAACAAACTACTTGAGTATATACAGCACCATATTTTGTTCGGTGATTCAGTAATTCAGATCGATAACCCACTCAAAACACTGAACTCAACCCATACCGCTTCACTCAGTATATTTGCTAACACCAAAGAGTTCGCGTTTTATATAGTCATGGTAGAATGGAGATAAACATACTGTGTTTTCAATGTAGAGCTAGGTTACCTGTAGATTTAACCGCGCTAAATTTAACATTTGAAACCTTACGTTGCGCGTTCGGTTCCAAATTCAATTTAGCGGGGTTAAATCTACTGGTAACCTAGCTCTACATTGAAAACACAGTATGTTTATCCCCTAATTCAATATGTTTTCCTCTATTTTCATAACTAGATTGACGGATTTATTAACAAACAAACGTCGAATTAAAAGAAACCATAAAATAAGAAACATCAGTTATTTACCCAAACTTGTATGCGTTTAGGGCCTGTGAGTCAATGAGTTTGAACTTTGAACAGCGTTCCAGATATATCACGATGTGTCTGCCTATTGTGGTAGGAAAACCCGAGGTGATGCAGGTCTCAGACGTTTACCACTTTAGTGAAATCCACGAGCACGGGTATTTGGCTATCCAAACCTAGACAAATAATTTGGCGAACCGGGACATATAAGTACATATACGTGTACATATAAGTGTCTAAGTTAACCTACTCACTGTAAAAAGATCCGTGTTTGGTCTACTCAGATATAAACACATTTATAATCATGTTTATTTGTGCAGTAATTTACTCAAGTTACGGTAATATAAGATATATGATTAAAGAACTATTTATTACAGTAAGTCAACTGTTCACCCGAAACGTCCCAAGGGAACATAATTATATGGTACAAGTCAAAATAGGGAATTGTATCTGACATCATTTTGGTAACTGAGGCCTTGAATGTGGTAATTAACCTGATCAAACAATTTTTGTTTGTTCGATTGTACTTAAACACGGTTGTGAAATGTAGACTCCAAAGTCTTGAGCTGCTGAAATATTGGTTGACATAAAAGAAAAGCTGAATATTGGAAGTTGTCTTGTCGATACCTTATTGTCACTCTGAATCGCTATGCCTAGAAATTGATGAGACCCTTAACTCGCCGTTTTTGCTTTAAGATTTTAGGTGATAAAAGCAGTTGAAGACAGGTGACATTTTGACAATAATACAATGATATCAGATCATCGAAAAAATGAAGCTTCAGCGAATCTATAGACCAAATTCCCGTGTTTTGCCAATCGTCGCAGAAAGTCCATTTCATTTGCATACAGAAACGGATCAGCAAGGTGTGGTTGTCATGCGGATGCCCACTTCTTGCCTAAATGTCCTAGCCACTAATTTCACATATATGTTATCTATGAGGAAGTCCAACATTTCCCGTATTGTTCTTTCAGTACACTTCAATTGACATTTGCTTTTATTTTTGTCCTGAACCTCTGAAGATAGTTTTGTATCAAATCACCACCATAACCATGCGGTCACAACGTTTAGTGACAAATGACCCATGGATTAAGGATTGAAAAAACGTCGTTAGAGTTAAAGTGTTATTTACGGTTGACATACCAAATTTAGGATGTGCAATCTGCTGAACTTTATTTCCAATACTCATATCACATGCATTCACTGTGATACGGCTGGGCTACTGTTGCCAATGAAACAAATATGTTGAATGTATTTAAAATAACATAGAAATAGGAATACTTGACTGTAAATCTATCGTTGCTAAAACTGATAACAGAAACCAGTTTATGGAGGTAAAAGATCAGAATTTCATTTGAAGCCCTCATCATGCTTAAACCTACTGTAAATCACTTGACACTCATTTGTGACGGAAATGTTCGTTTGCCCCTCAGTTTACTATTCGTCGTCTGTCAGTTGTCAACATCACAAGCGGTGATCAAATTCTACATAGTGACAACGTTTGCGGGAGACGTGCAGATAAAACAATCGTTCTCACAATCGCGATTTGGTGTTGCTCTTGAAACATGAAAAGGGGTCCACAAAAAGAAAGGATGTACAAAATAATTTAATGAGACTTACCCAACATCAGGACAGTGTGTGCACTCACAAATATAATGTTTCAGATGCAGTGACACTGTCGTCATGGAAACTGCATCTCAGCCCATCAGTGTGGGACAGCGAGTATGCATCAAGTAGGTGACAAGCATGACAAATTATGCGTACATGTTTGACAGTCATAAAGCGTGTTACGAGATTGTTTTGAATGATTTGTGAACAGTTGAATGTGGGACACATATTTCGGAAAACTATTGGAAATCTGAATTACATATATATATAACATTGAATCGGTACCATGTAAACAAGTCATAGATTGCAAGAATACGATCTATGACATCGGGATATATTGACACATTATCAGCCAATTGGACACACATTGTGACCGACTGATCCTCATGTTATGACTGAAATGCCGAATGGTGTGAGTGAGTGGGTGAGTGACTTTTGTTTGACGCCACTTTGAATAGTAATGTGGGGCGAACACACACCAAGACATAGTGACGTCACATGTCCTTCTTGCTCTTTTCAGTGTGCAATATCCATATGTTTTATGGGATATTAGTTACTACATGTTCAATTTATGTGTCCGCGTGTTCATTATGAGAAAAGCATTCACAAATTATTTGTTATCTTATAACATTATATGTGTTGTGTCGTAAATAGTGGACCGCCTCCGTGGTCTAGTGGTAGAGCGGCCGCGTCATACCAAAAGACGTTAAAAGATGGTACTTGTTGTTACCCTGTCTGGCGCTGGGCATTAAGGGGTTAAAACAAGGACTGGTCGGCTCGGAGTCAGTATGCTGTGTCTGAGTGGGGTATTCATGTTAAACTGCGGTATGGTATCTCAGTGGGCTAGCACTATAAATCGGCATCAGTCCGGACTAGAACAAGCAGCCACACACACACACACACACACACACACACACACACACACACACACACACACACACACACACACACACGTGCATGCACGTCGCTATATAAGTGCAATAATCTTGGACGCGACGTTAAACCCAATTTCACCCCACCTCACCTCTTAAATAGTTGGTATAGTCCTGCCCGTTGTGAAACGAAGCTTTACCCAGAAACATGTCTTAGATGTAGTATAGTTAAAAACATCACAGGGAGACGTCAGGTATCAAGTCACCATGATTGTATGTTTTATACTGATTCATACTGCAACTCACATTGAGTTATTGAATATGTCGTCTCATGTATCCGTGTGATAGAATAGGATGGTGATACTTATGTTTTAATTTAACAACCTGTCATCAGGATATTTGTATACTGCTATTTGGATACTAAATGATATGGACTGTCGTGTCAGACATTTCAATTGTAAACGAATCCGTACTCGTTGCTCGTTGTTGATATTATTTTTCCACCTATTTATAGCTTTTTCTTTATGCGATCTGTTTGAAGCTGTTACGACGTGATAATGAATTGTTTATCAGTGCAAATTGAATGATATGTTGAATGTTACAAACAGTTGAATATTTTTTTATTACATTACACATGTATTTTATGAGTTGTTACATTATGGTTGTAGTAAACGTGGTATGATATCAAAGATGACGAGATTACAAGTAATAATCTCTCATAACATTATAAAATTCGCTTTTTCTTGTACCAAGGATAACTCGATATTCAAGGACGAGTTTGACACAACTTGGTTCGACTGTATAGAGACATACTATGGGCTTGGGCAAATCTTTATCCATAATTAGGCGTCCATCTATTTTTTAGAGTAGGTAGACACTCCGTGAATTGTCAGGATGTCGGCTCCTTCTGAAACAAGAAAAACAACTGCTTTGACTTGACGATATGTGGGCACGATGCATTATTGCAAGTATACATGCTTTCCAAATGCACGTGCAAATATAAAGGGTAAGCCTGTTGGACATGGATGATACATCAGTAGGTAATTAAAAGGAATTAGCTTACACAGTATGCAATCGTACTTCGTTATTTCCCTGCACACACACTCTAATGTGTTTAGAACGTTAACATATACAGGAAATGTCTGGGGTCAATACACATGAAATAAGCTTTAGTCCCATGGCCTGAACACCACCTAAATACAACATTCATATTATCCAAATATGCAAAGTCAGATTAGGGGGCACTTGCAAAACACATATACCACCAGGATTTACAACGAACTTGGTACAACATCAACATTAAGATGTACAAATTACCATGCTAAGTTTATTAATCTAGTAAAACTGACATCTCCGTAGCACAGATGGCAGCGCGTAAGAGAATAAACTAATAGGTTGCAGGTTCGCATCCCGCCGAGTTTGTAAAATGTATGGAGTTCATAAATGTGTTATTGTTGTATGACCTATTTCTTTAATATAGAAAACGGAAGCTGGCAATGACGGTATGACTACTACGATAGACCCTTAACTTATGTAGTTATGCCCACTGCTAAACTACAAAACGCCCCCTTTTTTATATTACCTACAGCTAATTTCAGGGAAGGGGGATAGTGTTCTTTTACTGAACTGTCTTCAGCAAAACGTTTCCTCGTGCTTATCTTTGGCAACATGCATGATACACGAGGTACTCACAGTTTCACGCCCATTTGTCAGAATTTGTTGGGTTTTTTTTAAAAGAACATAATGAATTAAATTCTTTATCACAGTTCTTTTTCTTATTTGTAATTTTAGTCATGTGTCTTTTCAAGATGCCGATAATCAAATTAAGACAAGGCATACAGATTGTATGACCCCTATCCTTTGATGTAGTGACAGAAACGAGTGACGTCAAACATGTGCGATCTTTTCAGGCATGCAGCTTAACTGGGATGGTAAACGTTGTTTACTGTTTTATTAGAATGGCAGATGTGAAAGAGACCATGGGAATTAGCAGAGGGGTAACTGGAAGTTATTTCCTTGAGCAGTGGACAGTGGCAGGCTAGTTCTAGATTGGACAGGTATAAAAGTACGGTCGTTAGCCAGCTGCAGTCGTCCCTGAAGAATGCTTTAAAAGTGTCGTTTCTGAGCCGAGCTCTGGTAGTGAGTCAAATACGACTTCTGGGACTCATCAGTTTTGTGATCTGCTGTGTTACAAATCTCGCATTTTTTCAGTACCTGCGTTTAAGTGCAAAGTGACGGCCGTTGCAAGAAGTCATTAGTTTGTTTTGACTTTCTTGACGAAGGAGTTGTAAGATATTTCTTTCATTATGTCGCCAATAACATTTACACCAACGCGCTTTGTGATGTACATGTACCATTCAGTGTCGTCGACATGAATCATCTCTTGGGAGCCTCGTTTTGAGAACCATTGTAGGCATTGAGGCGAGATATGTTGCTTTTTAATGACAATACCGGACGGAATTGTTCTAGAGTTGTCGAACAAACCTTTACGAGTTTCAATCTTAACTTTCACAATCAATATTCAAATCATTTTCATCATGTGTTGCCTGACCAAGGTCATCGTGCTTAAGCTTTTTTTTCACCATTGGCAGATAAACACTGTTCGAAGTGTGTAATTCTCGGTCTTGGATAATATTTATGCTGCGCTCAAAACTTGATTTGGAGTAAAGATTTATCTGTCTTTATTTGTCTGTCATTGAGTCGTGATCTAAGCGGGTAGCTTTTCGAACTTTGGTTGACACTTTGGCCATCTAGCCAATCTGGAAGTGAAAGGATTGCCTTGTTCAGTCTAGAGGTTTCCATCCACAATATCCTGCACTAAATGTTTCATCGAAATCTCAGATTTAGAAATCAGGGAAAATTAACATCAGGATCTGATCCTCTTTGTTGATGATTCAATAAATAGTTCCATTTATCAATGTATACATACACTGTGATCTGAGACAAATAATAAGTAACGTTATCCTCGTTCGACAATACTTTCTAACCAGTACATACTCTTATGTTACAATGTTTGAGTAGGTATTTATCGGCCGTCATACTGTTTTGTGTGGGAAGGCCCTTGCCACTCTTTTCGTGGGAACGTGAATGTCTTTAGAGTCTTCCAACATATACTTGGATGTTAATGTAGGTTGTCACACTATTATTATTTAATATGTTTTATGCCGCTGCTAAAGTTCAACTGCATCATTCCAGCCAAAACCAAAAGTCAACTCAAAACCAAAACGTTTACCCATATCATGTGTGCAAAGCATAAATAAAATCAACTTTTCAAATGGTCTGAAATGTCTTGCTTACAAATACCTTTTCATCTGCCGGGCATCATCAATAGTATCTGGGAGTGGAGCTTTCCGAGTTTCAGGCAAAGCCAGAGCTGCCAATCCAGCCAATACCATGGACGTACCGAAGATTAGAAGAGGAAGAGCCCGACCAAAGTCTCCTGATATCACCAGAGCCTGTTTAATAACAGATTTTGTCATGTGGACAGCTGTTATTGTGACATGATATGCATCTCAATTTCCGTGAAATGGCCTTACAGACATGATTACCTTTTCTTTCTTAAGTTCCCGAAATCATGTTTACACTATGTTGTCTCTACTGGGCAAAAGAAAGCATACACCCATGCTTGATGGTGGCCAATATAAACAAGATATGTTTTTTCGTTTTTTTTTACGTCTGTCACTTTTTCGTCAAATCCAATTTTCAATTGTATACTTTCTTTTGCCTGTCACTTTACATTGTTTAATAATGAATTTGTTATTCGGTGAACAATCCCTTTTCAATCTGTGGAACCTTTATGTCCACATAATAAATATTGTTTATATTTTTGTGAAAAATAATAAAGAGACGTCATTGTAAAAAAACAAAAACATACGAGGTTAGCTATGTAAGGCGATATAGTTCCTCCAACCCTCCCGAATATGTTAGCAGCTGCCAGAGCCGAGTTTCTGATGACAGTGGGGAAGAGTTCTGAAGAGTACAACCAGATGACGTCGAAGCTGGCCACAGCGAAACCCCGACCAGTCAATGCTAAGGCAATGGTCAGCCAGTTGAGAGCTGGGGAGAACATAGTATATACATCATTTGAGGTAAAGTCTATATTTGTTCAGATAACTCTAACTGGCCAATATGTGTTTGATCAATTATTTGTAAACTTCCAACCTGGAGGTCAATTGCTTACCATGAGTAAGTGATTGTCAGTCAGTCAGCCAGCCAGTCCGTCAGTGAGCAAGATTGGAATTTCGTGGCTCGTTCGAAGCGCCATCGGTGTCCCTATAGTCCTCCTATTGACTAATAAGATTCCACCTCTCACATCACTTGCATTTGCTTCAGGCAAACTGGGGATGCCAAGTCAGGACAATCTGATCGATAATCAAGATCTCTTTTGCAATAAAGTGGGTCTTACCTAACGAAGAACAACAAAATACTTAACTCCCTTGCCTCGGGAAGATGTGATCAACCAGAATCATCTAGGCGGAGATTATTGCATGGTAAATAAGAAAAGCTAAATACATCAACATATCAAGATAATTATGCCTTACACACATCGCCATAGAGCACAGGTAGAATGGTCGCTGTGCAGCACACCCCGCCCAGGATCATGGTGGTGCAGAGAAAAGATTTCCTTCCAATGCGGTCGAGGAGAAGAAGGCTCGCAACATGGCCGACCATCTCAGCCACGGATGAAATGAAGAAATTCGTGTAGACACTTCCGCCAAGATTGGCAACGTTCAGCCCGAGGCCATAGAAACCAATACTAACAACGAACCTGGGGGATTAGACGATGGTGTAAAGTGTTTCAAGTTGTTTATATATGGTGCAAGAAAGTACAAAATCCTAGATTAGAGCATGATATACTTTTAAATATTTGGACAATATTAAAGAAGCGTAACGTAATTAGCTTAGTTTCAAATTCTTTGACATGGCTTCAGGACATTAAAAGTGAATTATTCTAGAGATACTTATCCGGTTTGTTTAAAAAGTATGTTTAAGTATGGGATATCGATAATTATGTAGAGTACTTTTTTCTTCATAAACGACTGGGCCGTTATCTAGAAATAAGACCACTTGGTATTTGCTCATTTAGTCATAACTAACGGTCCAATAAAAATCCTTCACAGCATGTGCAACATTTGGGAACAACACTTTAAGTCGTTGTGACGGAAGTGATTCACACAACTGTTTAAACACAAGCTAGAACTACAACTTCATCCAGGATTAAATCCACATGCACACTCTCCTTATTGGCGTGGTCTTGTGTGGTGACCGGCATGACAAATTGGTGGTCGGTTCAGGGATGGTATGTAGTTGTGTCACTACGACGCTATTTCACATTGTCCATGGATGGATCTGTACTACCCGTGAGAACATTACAATGCACGAGCTCAAGTAGTTGGACTGTCACTGCATACCATCAGCACAGTACCATAACCAGCACTGAACCCCATCTCCATCCACTAGGCACGTGTGGGACAACATCGGAAGACGCCTACGTCGTCATTCTCTCTAGGCCAGGCGACAAGAACCTAGGTCATGCGCTTCGAGAAACGTGTACGTGATACAGGATACCCCAAATGACCATTGAACGTTCATTAGGAGCACATCACTTCGTATCAACGAATGCTTGCTGAATCGTGGTGGGTTTTACCAAAAATTAATGGACAGACATTTTTTTCAGAATGCAGACGTCGTGACGGTGGTGAACTATTGTAACCTAGGTTTTGCGTGCCAAGAAATTATCAATTGCAGAACGAATCGTTTAAAATATGATAAACGAGAAGCCTTCGAACGAATGTGGAGGACGGTGTGGTCCATCATGAAAACGGTGTAGGCCATCATCCATATATTTACTAGTATCATACTCCTCAACTTCCCAAACACACCATGGCTTTGATTATCACTTGTTGGCAACAGCTGATCATGATTATAACTCAAGCCTGGATGTTTCAAATGACACCTATAACCGAAGTGGCAGGGATATACCCCAATGATTGCTTCCCTGGTAACTAGTCAATCAAGTACAATATATAACATACACGTTTGGAACTTTTCAACGTTGTGATATTGTAATACTGTTTAAGGTTGTGAAAACGTTATTGATACATTTCGATAATACCAAAATGCATATGAAGATATAAAATGTGTTGTTGATCCCTACCAGTTGAATATCACCACCAGGCTCCGTATAGCCAAATTCGGATATGCAAATATCCGCCATAGCGGTTCCTCCGTCTTCTGCTCTAGCATGTCTTCACTGAATACGTCAAAGGGTAAGGACTTCTTGTTGACCTTGGCAGCATGATGCAATATCCTGTCAGCTTCCTCATACTTCTTCTTACTGATCAGCCAGCGTGGAGACTCCGGCATCAACCTTAAATGACATTTGTAAGTAGCTCTGTATTGAGTAAGTGGGTTAACAACGACAGCAGAATAGTAAAACAGTATGGTAAATATCACAGAATCAACAAAGTAAAACATAGTTAGGCTGCATATATAAGAACTACAATGAAAGGTGACTTACTTTAAATGTGTAGCATCTGCTCAATTTCGTTGTTATATTGGATACATCATATTTGGTTGATATGCTTTTTATTTGTTTGACCATTTTAAGTGAGAGTAAGATAATATTTCTGATGACACCTGTCAATGGGGAATATTTAACTTATTAATTCTGTTGTTTGTTTTTTGTTCTGGATATTATATGTCGCAGTAACCAAGTAACCGAGCATGACCACCCAATCCAATCTCGTCGCCTCTTAGGGTTACATGGGTTACATGACACCACGAACCAAGGAATCCACAGTTCTGAATCCCTTGATTTCCTATCTTTCTAGGTGGATGGGATAGAAAATTTCGGTACGATGAAATGATATTGAGATCAATTTTAGCAGTGGTGTGTTTGGATACCGATATCAGGCGGTGAAATCAATTTGGATTTACTCTTTTTGGATAAAATGGGCACTCATATATGGTTGATCTATGAGATCCCCGCAAGGCTTGCAGTGTCACGAGCGTGCATAGGGACATTATGAAAATATGTGGTTGCAATCGTCACGCGTATCAGAGGTGAAAGCGTCATAACTGATAACGTCCATCCGAACACTTTACATACAAAAGGCTTACCAGTAATATGCCACAAACAGAACCGTTGGCACAGACAGAATCAGCTGCAGGCGTTGCCAATCTCGCACAAAGTATGCAAGTGTTGCTGTTATGAATGAACCGCTTGTCCAAAGTATCTCACATACGATGCCCGTCAATACTCGCTTTGAAGGACCGACTAACTCCACACCTGAAATAAAGCACCAATCATTCGCTAGATACATTTAATTGAGCGGGTAAATAAATGTTGTTTTACATCGCATTCAACCATATTCTAGATAAACAACCTCGTCGGAATCAGATGGCATGCTTTGAGACAGGCCACACAGAACGATTAGATCCGACGATATCTATTTTTATCTGCTATATATCTAACGCATAATTGAGAGTGCATTTTTAGCCGGTTCAGTTAGTGTCAAGCATGGTATCTTTAAGTGGATTAGGAGTTCCCACCTACGACAAAGGCGTTGCCCCAGATGGCCATGCCGGACATCCCGTTGATGCAGTAGAGGAGACCGAGGATTGGGAAGCTGGGGACAAAGGCTGTCGAGATGGCTGTCACAATATGCAGGATGACTGACACCATGAACATCTTCTTCCTTCCGATGCTGCAGATAAGACATAGACCATAGGCGGGTCTGCAAAATGTTGTGAGTATGTGACACGCTTTGTGTGTAACATAAACTGGACACCTACTAAACATAGTGAACCTTGCAAGATTTAGTACTATACTCCACACCACTATGACTTCACAATCATGTATAGAGAAACATCAACTTTGAAGCCCTCTTTTGACACTGTAACCTGATACCTCCCTCGGTCAATTTCTAACGATGTATCTATTTGTGTGACGGATGTCATCTGTGGGTAAGATATATTCGCTGTCAACAAATCACCAAGCCTCATACCCGACTGATGCATCGTCCAACATGCATATAGTGTTGGTAACTTGGGAGCAATTCTTATCCGAAAACCCTACAGAAGATGATTATTAGATATTGATGGGGGATTCCATTACCTTTTGCATGTGTTTAGACGGGTGCAACCGGTGGGGTAGCATATGCTCATCGTGGTATCGTCACTCTTTCGTACTGATTGATAAACACATGCTTATGATACAGATGGAATCTTTCAACGGCTTTCTTATGATTATGGAAAGGGTTTTTGTCAGTTATATTATTACAACCTACGTTTGATAAAAAAAAATTGAGTAAGTACCTACCTATAATGATTGAGAACGAAATACTTTTCAACACATATCAGCTTCCGTGACGATCAGATCATCTGTTTTAAGCAGAAGTTGTGATTGATATCAAAGTATTTTCCGATTTCATGGTCGAACTGTTTTCTTTGACTAACAAGGGACTTACAAATCTGCCGGGGGCAACAACAACACACTTCCAACCAAAAGTCCCAGCATCAATAGCGTCTGGGCATGAGTCTTCGTCAGCTGCAAGTCACATACCCATCCAAACTGAAAAATGTTAGAGCAAAACGATAAAATTATGAACGATAAAATGGTGCTTTGAAAAGATAAAGCATGTTATAGGTTCTAACTTATCATTACCTGTGTGCTGAACATTACCGGAATAACACATTAAAGGAAGATAAAATATTAATAAATATATATAAATATTTGCACAAGTATCACTTGTCCCCAGCTTGTATTTTCATGATTCAAATAAAGCTGTTTTCTCTAAAACATCAAACAATACATCCAGCTACGTTCAGAGGCGGCATTTACATAATAGTGTCTGGACCAGTGATTGAAAGCGTCTGCAAGGATCCGCGCTGATGGGTTGCGTTGACAGTCAAACAGCTGATAAAACTGAGCAGCCGATTATCACTTTATGCGGCACTTGCTTTCGATCATAGGGTACTCGTGATCTTATCAGTCACGGAGTTCCCGATTCACTTCCTTGGCTTTACGCTTTGTTTGGTTTGTTCGTGGCCTAATTCAAAGGTAACTTTAGACCCATTCTTTGTCGGAATCACAAAAGGGATGGTTTTACGTAAGTGACCTCTTTAAAATATGGAAACATTCAAGACAAACCTTTGTTACAATAGTTGAACTAAACATATCCGTGGAATAGACCCATTTTTCACATTTTCGCGAAGTATTTGTGTAAAACGCATCTCCATTCGTGTCATTGATGACATTGTTAATGAAACAAGAAGAGTAGAGCTGTGTCCCTTCATTGGATAGAGGAATGGCTGCGTTGATGGCACGTGCATGTTGTTCTCCCTGAATGGCGTATGTGTCATTATACCAGTCCGGGAGAGCACATCTACACAGAATCAAATGTAACTTCAGTGGGGACTTTCAAAATGGGACAACCTGTGTGAAGATCGTCAACGCTGCTATAAAGACTAAATGAATATATATATATATTTAGTTTTACCCTCCACCAATGCCTGCATTTGCCCGTAGTCTATAGGAACAACAAGTGTTACGACCGTCCACGTTGCGTGACGGTCAACACGTCCACCACATATTGGAATCTCTGTTTTGGTAGTTGGTGATGCGTGATTTCTACAAATCATGATAATATGTATCTTTTTTAAATGAGCCCGATAACATATTAATAGTCTGGGAAACATAAACAAAGAATATATGAGAAAAATAATTCTTTGGAATTAAAATGTAAAGTTTTACTTTAGTCCTGTTTTGTAGTGGTCAGTGGTAAGAAAAAAAGATTTTTTTAAAGGTATAATTTGTGAACTGTTGGGTCAACGGATACATTAACCAAGTGTATGAAGTTGTATGTACCTGTGGTCTGGTACACCTAGTGTGAAGACAGTCATCATTATCTGCACACCGGATGATATCATTGGGATACATAGCAGAAAGTAAAGCCTCTTCTGGTAGGGGCCAAAGTCACCCAGGAGAGTCACGATGTCTTCAAACTTCATCTTGAAATCTGAAAGAAGGCTTATGAGCATATTTTGTTTTTACTATAACATATATTAGACGTGTGCTCTTCGCGGGAACTACAGATGAGCCAGTGGTCAAAACGTGCTTTCCATGTACATGCACAACCCCACTCGTAGCTGAGCTCACTGACGTGAATAATGCTGAATATTGTTGATGCTGTTTTAAACAGCGACAAAACACACTGTAAACCTGATAAACAGTTACTTGTTAGTCCGATCAGACGCTAACAGCTACCGTTCCACCATTTCAGACTCATTTTGATTGTAATGATGTGGGAGGTTAATGATAAAATAGATGGAGACAGCAATGTAATATAACAAACGATGCTTTTGTAGCAAATAGTAAGTATGTACTGCAATAAACTTTTGATGCACACATACCCTACCTCTTTATTCTTGTTTTTTCCGCTCAAACTATGTGCTCCGTCAGTTGTCGACAGTACAAGTGGTAAATTTAGTATTGACCTTTCAAACATAAAAGGGTGTCCACACAAAGAAATGCTGAACGAAAACATTCATCAAGAAATTATATGTACTCACAAATAGGATATTTCGTTAGCTGTAAAAGCGTATCCTCCTTCAACGCCAGGCCTTCATTCAGTCTATGTAGTCAGGTGACAGTGACATATTTTAAGCACGTTACAGCCATAAATATTTTTTTAGCGAGTGTGTTGATCATTTCTATTTCATGTCCTGATATTTCCCCACTGACCAGTTCATCGCAGTTTCTTCAGTTATGATAGTCTATTTTAGAATGGTTTTCTAGAAAATCTAAATCTTTATCAAATTAGTGATTTGATTTTTTTTCAGATTTAAAAGTTCTCTGAATTTGGCATGCCAATCATCAGCAGTAACTCATATCTACAGCAATAGTTCTTAATTGTTTTCCAAAATAAGTTACAAACTTTACTTTTTGTAGCTTTTACAACTTCTTCAGAAACAGACTTATCTTTCACAGGTTGCTTTAAAAAGTTTTATTGGCGTTTGAATACTCACTGCAATGTTCGCTATCATTCGTAATGTTAAACCTTGTCTCGCATTACCCATCAAACCACTGTGGCTGGTGTTGATGTAGGTTATAATTGATATAAAGCCTTTTTTTTAAATAGATCTTGTGACATTTCTACAGCAGAATATAAATTCTTACGTGCTTGGTCCCACCGAAATCTATCTATGCTGTGAAATGCGCAGGGATATCACGGGAGAATCAGATTCTGTTCCAGTTACTATTTTAACGTTTCTAAAGCATTCATACATAGAAGAGGGCACAATACAATAATTTACACCACTATTACCTTGGCTGCCAATAAACGTAAAATCCCCCTCTACGTCTGATCCTCATCTACCATTTATTACACGCATGTTCATATTTACACACAGATGGAGTAACTGTTTTCTTTGGCTATTCATAATACTGTCTTTGGACGTTCTGGAAATACGAAATATGAACAACATCATATTCATAGTTTAACTCATCCACATCATTTAACATTTCCACTCAATAGTAGCAAAACTCCAGTTATCAGCAACATCTGGACCTGGCGAGATCATAAACCCCCACATATCTTAAATCCGTGTTGTAGTTCAGGTCCTGACCCTACAGGCTGGGTATGTAAGTCTATGTTGGAGTTAATGAACTTCAATATTAACTCTCATACCTGCCGACACGTCTTGCTCACGCCATTACAGGTGGTGCTCCTCAATCATGACATTACAAGCTATCTTTCAGGGTTAACCACACGTTTGATGCATTTCATGTTGATTATAACGGTCCTGTACGTGACGAGGAAGGGATACATTTGTATGGCGAACAGTGCGTAAGTGAGTATAGTTTTACGCCGCTTTTGGCAATATTCCAGCAATATCACAGCGGGGGACACCAGAAATGGGTTTCACACATTGTACCCATGTCGGGTCTTCGGCGTGACGAGCGAACGCTTTAACCACTAGCTATAGGCTACCCGGCCGCCCCGAATGGCGAACAGAGTTGAGGAATGACAATCATCATGGTCATCATTTAGGTCTTGTTTGTCGATGTTCACCTTAGGAACAGATATTCAAACTTTATGAGGACGCCCTGTAAATAACCGAGGCAGAACCCGATTCATCAACACTTGATTTGGCCAACGTTTCATGTCGTCGGGGTGTGACGACGCGCAATCTACCGAGCTAACCATCCGATACATTTAGACTTCTCTGACAACACGCATCGATTGGTGGAGACCTATACATTGAATCGGCAATCCCCCAATGCGTATTGCTTTCTATGATCACCCAGGTGTTCACTATTTATTTACTGTTCTGTGGGTTCTAACGCCAATTTGTGTTTGTATGAACCAAGAATGATTTTGTTTGTTTAACGCCACTATCAGCAATATTCAAGCTATATGATCATGACGGCGATCTGTAAATAATCGATTCTGGACCAGACATTCAAGTGATTGGCATAATAGGCATCGATCTACGCAGTTGGGGAACGATGACTTGCATGAGCCATGGCAGCAAGCCTGACCAACCAATCCTGTTAGTCGCCTTTATAATAAGTATGGGTTGCTGAAGACCGGTTCCAACCCGGATCTCATGAAACCATGACACACACAACCATTAATTTCTAGATTTTGTTATTACCTTTGGTTTGGAAAAATACATGCATACTGCAACATCGGCCTGATTAAAAAGCAAAGATTATAATTTTAAAGTAGAAAGTCGTTTTCCTCTTTTTACCTTAAAAAGAAAGTTTTGCCGACTTCCGGTTGCGGAAACAATATGTTGGACAACACAAACCTTGACATAACTGAAATTCAAAGCGAAATTACTACAAACTGACTGACTGACTGACTCAGTCATTATCATAAAAGGTTCTCTGTACATGACACCGCTTGCAATTGTTATTTGCTTTGATTAAACTGCGCATACTTCAGATACATGTAGTTTTAATAAGGGGCACCAATACCGGCAAAATAGTCCCATATCTTGACATGACAGCGTTCTCGAGTCAAGGAGATATATTTTCCTAATCAATAGGAACAACCAGCTGTATGCAGGCTTGGTTGGTTGGTTGGTTTGTTGTTTAACGACGCACTCAGCAATATTCCAGCTATATGACGGCGGTCTGTAAATAATCGAGTCTGGACCAGACAATCCAGTGATTAATATCATGATCATCGATACACGCCATTGGGATCGATGACATGCATCAATCAAGTCAGCGAGCCTGACCACCCAATCCCGTTAGTCGTCTCTTACGACAAGGATAGTCACCATTTACGGCCAGCATGGAGTCTTTAGAATATTATTTTTGTGATGAATTGATAATAGGATACGTTGTTTTGTAAGAAATGGCTGATCGAGCTCACAATTCAAACTGTCAATAGATGTTCTGAAAGACCCAAGAGAAAGTCTTAGACCTTGATGGTGGGTAGAATCTAGCAGTTTAAGGTTACTTTTGCAGGCGTGATCTTTTTGTCTATTCTTTTTCTAGTTTTGTCTTCTCTTCAATGGCAACTGGTATAGAGACAGGGGGATCTGACATCCTTAAAGAAATCTGAAACAAATCAGCTACAATGTCAACAAGAACTATATCAGTTAAAAAGAAGATTTGATATTTACAAATATATATTTACAGATTGGTCCAAGGATGGTGACACAGTTGCTAGTGGCACTGTCATTGGATCCAGAACATATCTTGAAGATTCCCAGATTCATTCCATTTTCAAATCAAAATCAAATGCCATTTTAGCATATAAAAAATACAAACATCAAAGATAAATATTTTGTAATATTTCTGATTCGCTGTTGTGTCGCCAGGCTATTAAATACTAGTTGCGATTATCCAATCTTACTTAATATCATAGAACTATTTAATGTGCTGTAGCTCGGTTTTATCTTGCACTGTCAAATAATAATTATACCTTGTGAATGCTCTAATACTAGTGTTAAATACAATCTTATGTTGGGCAAGCAGATACATGCAGGTGAGTGAGTGAGTTGGGTTTAACGCGGCTTTCAACAGTATTCTAGTTACAATACGGCGTGTCAGCTTAGAGTGAGAGGAAAGCTCGAAGTGATGCAGATATCAGACGTTTACCACTTCGGCGAAACCCACGAGCACGGGTATAATGCTGACAAACCCAGAGAAACATAACCGGGGCGAAGCGGGTTTCGAACCCCCAACTACAGTTTTCTGGCGTGCCCAAGGGACGCAAAGAAAAGCCTCAAACCAGGTAGTCATCTCTGGAAATGACAGCTGTAAACGAACCTGTAAACGAGCTCCTCACAGCGGAGCTCTCTATACAGTGAGGTTTATGTAGGGGTCATGCTGGGAAGTTTATACTAAAAAAAGTAAGGACATGGACATGGACATGGACATGGACATGCAACTAACAATCATCATCCCACATACCACTTGGCAATGTCTGCATTTATTGTATATTTCACAGTATTTGGTTTGTTTGTTGTGTTGCTCAACGCCGCACTCTGCAATGTGCCAGCCATATAACGGCGGTCTGTGAACCAGACAATCCATGGATTGGCATCAAGCGCATCGATCCACAAAGATGGGATACGATGACATGCAATCCACCAGTCACCGAGCCTGACCATCCGATCCATATAGTCGCCTCTTACCACAAGCATAGGTTGCTATAGTGTGTTATGATGGGTTTCAAATGGAAGGCCAACACGGACGTTGAGTCTTTATAAGGGTGAATCTACGAATCAAACACACGATCATGACGCCTGGAGCCGTGCAATAAGGTACACATGCTCTGTGATAGGACTTATGTCTACATCTACTGTGACCCAATTGTACTGTACCAGTTGAAATTTCCCCTATGACTAGTACAGTTACTAATGCTAACGATAAAAGTTTTTTTGCACGCGCTTTTATCAACTGTTTCAGAATAAATGTTCACTGATTCAGCAGAATAGCTTGTGGAACGGTTATACACACTATATTCAAAGCAAACACTTATCGCTATTTCCATATATATTTATGCATATCGTAAATGTGCATATATCAACAACTGCTAAATGGGAATATAAGTGTTTTTGTTCCAGCACTGTTCCGTTAATGGATTATTTATGAGCTTCTGTACCCAAAGGCTGTGACTAAAATGTGCTCATTGCACATTGCTGTGAATTGTATTTCTTCATTGTACATGTGTACATATATCTACCGAACATGATCTATTGTAGGTTAGGCAATTGGCATACGGCATGTCCTATCACAGAGCATGTGTACCTTATTGCTAGGCTCCAGGCGCCATGCCTGATTTCTTAAAGTACATGGTGGAAGGCGCCATCCCTTATTTGTTACATTTGTTAAAGTACATGGTGGAGGGCGGCATGCCTGATTTGTTACATTTGTTAAAGTACATGGTGGAGGGCGGCATGCCTGATTTGTTACATTTGTTAAAGTACATGGTGGAAGGCGCCATACCTGATTTGTTACATTTGTTAAAGTACATGGTGGAGGGCGGCATGCCTGATTTGTTACATTTGTTAAAGTGCATGGTGGAAGGCGCCATACCTGATTTGTTACTTTTGTTAAAGTGCATGGTGGAAGGCGCCATGCCTGATTTGTATCATTTGTTAAAGTACATGGTCGAAGGCGCCATGCCTGGTTTGTTGCATTTGTTAAAGTACATGGTGGAAGGCGCCATGCCTGATTTGTTACATTTGTTAAAGTACATGGTGGAGGGCGGCATGCCTGATTTGTTACATTTGTTAAAGTACATGGTGGAAGGCGCCATACCTGATTTGTTACATTTGTTAAAGTACATGGTGGAGGGCGGCATGCCTGATTTGTTACATTTGTTAAAGTGCATGGTGGAAGGCGCCATACCTGATTTGTTACTTTTG